GACGATTTCTTTGTGACCAAAAAACAAACAAAATCACTAATATGGGAGGATCCAGCGGCGGCTTTAGCCAATGCCCGCCATGTATTCGGCGAACACGGCGGCGTTAACATGTCCATTGAAGCCTCCGCCACGTTCACCGTCATGGAACCGGAAACCATGCGCCGCATGTTCTCCGGCGAACTTGGCCCTGACCGTGACTTCTTCATCTACAGCCGCCATTTCAACCCGACAGTGCTCAATCTCGGACGCCTCATGGCGGCGCTCGAGGGTACTGAAGCCGCTTACTGTACGGCTTCCGGCATGTCGGCGATATCTTCGGTGTTGCTACAGCTGTGTAGTTCAGGTGGACACGTGGTGACTTCACGAAATATTTTTATTATACTTTTCAAACATATTATTATTGAATTTTGTATCGAAAATATTGAATTCATTTCTAGTAAGTTACATGGACTTCTGCAGGTGGACACGTGGTGGCTTCACGGACGCTCTACGGTGGGACACACGCCTTGCTTACTCATTTCTTGCCGAGGGCTTGTAACATAACGACGTCGTTTGTGGACATAAGGGATTTGCAAATGGTTAAGGAAGCGATTGTGGAAGGGAGGACAAAAGTACTGTATTTTGAGTCGCTGTCAAATCCTACGTTAACGGTGGCTAACGTGCCGGAGCTGAGTAGGATAGCGCATGAAAAAGGAGTGACGGTGGTGGTGGACAACACTTTTGCTCCGATGGTGCTTTCGCCGGCGAAGTTAGGTGCTGACGTTGTTGTTCACAGTATTTCCAAGTACATTAGCGGTGGAGCCGACATCATCGCAGGTTTGATTTTTCTTCTTAGTTTTTGTCCTTAGTATTCAGTGACTTCACACGTGTGCCTTTCGTCTAGATAGAAATCATTAATCATCATTTGGCACCAAAGATAAATATAAAAGAACAGTCGATATATAATCTCTAACTCATTGGTAAAACCATTTTTGCCAATTGTAGTTGTAAATTTCGTGTTTTACCGATCTTGTTATGAGAATACTATTTCCTCAGTTTTCTTTTATTAGTCTTTTATACTAAAAAATAAAATTTCTAATTTCACTTATCCTTAGTATTAAGTACCCATACTCCCCAAGTTTATTGGAAGTACAACTTTAATAACCATTAGGAAGGATAATTTAGTACTTTTAAATTATTTGTCGTGATTTCTAAACATAATTATCTCAAATTATTCATCATTTTAGAAGTTCTAGATAAAATTAATTATTTTTTCTAAGTAATAATTATCCGTGAAGATGAAGATGACATATAAATAAAATAAATACTCAATAAACAGAGATTATATCTTAAGATATAAATAAGGATAAAATATTAAAAGAATTCTTTTAATTAATGTTGTTTAATGTATATATTAAAGAGAAACATGATAGATAATTTGAGAAGATGGGAGTAAAACAAGTAAAACAAACCCTCAATAAATGATCTCCTTAGGAGGAGTGCTAGTCAACAGAGGATCAGTAAAAGGGAACTGAACGAGTAAATAATACTATAGCTTGATTCAGAGAGTAAAACTTCTTATAGGAGTAACATGGAACCCGAGTAACTTATAGTAATAGAGATTTGATAACGCTCAATTCACGAGAATGGGTGCTGGTGCTCCCCAATAGAAAATAAGAATTAGAAAAAAATTAGCTCTAATATTCATTTATAAATTTTTATTTATTTTTCTTAGTCTTATGAAGAGTAGTATATATGGACATTTTAAACTCTCTCTTTATTATTCTTTATATGCACATGGTGGATCTGCATGTTTTGAAAGAAAAGTGAAGTTAATGGTATGATGAACCAGTCATGATTATTTTTCTACTTATGGCAACTGTTAATTTTCCAAATGGATAATTAAGGCTCATTTATTTGTTGATCTGTATAGCAGAACTGCACAAGATAGCTTCTTTTTTCCCGGGATCTTTACACAAATAGCCGGTTATATTAATTATTTATTTTTTTTAGCTATATATATAGATTATACATTAATTATACACAATTATACCCATACAAATTAATTGTTTATTTTTTTTAGCTATATATATAGATTATACATTAATTATACACAATTATACCCATACAATACATAAATTATGCATATATTATATCTCCACCGGTTATTTTTAGTTTAAGTTATTGGGTGAGTGGCTATTTGGGTTAAATTTTATTATTTTTTTTCCTCGCTTTCTTAAAAATAAAGTAATTAAACATTAGAAGGTAGAGTTTGATATTTTCCCCAAAGACTAATAATGATTTTGTTAAATGTTCCTATCTAAAGAGAAATGTTCTAAAAGGTGATAAACTTCTTTGACATTTTTGAAAGGTTGGAGAGATTTAGGGACAATGTTTCATCACGTGTGATTTGGTGCTTTTACATTATTAGATGAAGATGACTTTGGAGATAAGATTTCACGTGTTTTCTCAATTGGAATTGCTAGTTTTTTTCTTTTTGTTTTGTTTTCTTTTTTGGTACAAACCTATATTTGTGGTTGGAAATTAATTTGAAACAAGAAGTTTACAAATGTCCCATTAGTTCGGAATAGTTCGCGTAAGAAGTTTTGCATGTATGTGGTATATAGTAAGTGAAATAATGTACCTACTTAAAGGTGATCACATGTGTTCTAAATTATTTATTTTCATTATTATTAATAGGCCTTAGGACTTATCGTTATCAGTACTTGTCATCTTTTGTCTTGGTTACTTTAAATTATAACATGTGGCATCTGCACTTAGCAAAATGTGAACTCGCTAGAAATGGAGGTCTTTATAATTGTTTTTATTTTGGCTTGTTATATTTTAACTCTATCCCCAGGGGAATATTACTACGAATCTAGATAATACTACGTAGTGAAACCATGCATGTTTTTTTCGATTATGACTGGATTCAGAATCTTATCAAAGATTCATATTCAATTACACAAAGAAAAATATCCTTTTCTTTGGGGTAGGTAGCCCGTAATTAACGAGACAGAAAAATAAAAAAGAATAATTAGAGCCATCTTTTAATTGTGTAGCTATCTTAAAACAATCTCTAGCTAGCTCTTCTATATACATTGAACTGAAAAGACCATTATTATATGAATTAATAATTATGGGCTAAACCATACCAAAGACAGAACAAAGAAAGGTGGGGTCAAACATTCTTTTGTTTATTCCAGATTCTTTTGGGGAAATCTTGTGTGTATATAATATTGAAAAGTGTTCTCTTTCGATATCTTAATCACTGATTAGCACAAGGATAAACTTTTTATACACGACAGATCTGATGGATTATGCGGTGATTAAATCTGATCTTCCAATATATTACGCTGACATTCTACAATTGTCTTATTAAGACCCACACCTCTATTAGAGTAAAAACTTATGTGTAATATGCGTTTACACCATATGTGTTTGTACATGGACTTAATTAAAGCACTTAATCATGGTGAATTATTTGCATTCTTATCTCATTAGATCACTTAAACGTGATGTATTTAACATGTTTTGGTGTAAACACTTTATGCAGGTACGTATTACCCCTCTACTAGCAATAATGACCCTCTTTTTGCATCTAATGTTGTAATGATTTAGGATTTTGTCTTAGCGTTGAGCAATTGATTATTTAAAAAAAAGTAAGTTGATTAAAGTATTGGTAAGATAAATTATAAATTTCCCATACATAGCTATTCTTAGTTAAGAGGTGGAGAAGGCGGCTATTTAGGTTGATTTTTCTTAATTTTAATTATTGGTAAAATTACACAGGTGCCGTTTGTGGGCCAGAAAATCTTGTGAACTCCATGATGGATCTTCATCAAGGGGCTCTTATGCTATTGGGCCCAACTATGAATCCCAAAGTGGCATTTGAACTTTCAGAAAGACTTCCTCACTTGGGCCTTAGAATGAAGGAACATTGCAAACGGGCTTTGGAATATGCTACTAGAATGACTAAACTTGGGCTCAAAGTGATTTACCCAGGCCTAGAAGCCCACCCAGATCATACCCTTCTCAAGTCCATGGCTAATAAAGACTATGGTTATGGTGGAATTCTCTGTGTGGACATGGAAACCGAGGAACGCGCTAATCGTTTGATGAATGTCTTGCAAAACTTTACCCAATTTGGGTTCATGGCTGTGAGTTTGGGCTATTACGAGACCCTCATGTCGTGCTCGGGTTCTAGCACGAGCAGTGAATTGAACCATGAAGAGAAAGAGTTGGCCGGAATTTCACCAGGATTAGTGCGAATGTCAATCGGATATAACGGATCATTGGAACAAAAATGGAGCCAGCTCGAGAAGGCATTATCCAGAATGCAAGAGAAAATGGCCTTTTAGAAGCTCAAAAATTGAACTTGTTAAGATGCTTTGTTTTGCTCTATGAAGGGATGGATCCTACTTTTTATGTAGTATGTGCCTTTGGCCCATGTTTGTTGTTTCAAGTGTGGTGCTTGCAGTAAAGCTAGTTTTAAGCCCAATATAATTAAAAATGTGAAGGAAGAATAGAATAAGTGTGACCCATAAGCTGCTTATTATCCACTTTAGTTGTGGAGTTCCAACTTCCCTCTATTCTAGATTGTTTTATGTTGATGTATTTAGGGATGAAAAAGGTAGTCGATTATATAATTATGCATTACTAATATAAAGCTTGGTATCTAGAATAAAAGCATCACTAATGCAACTCTGCATTAAAAAAAAATGCAACTCTGTATTACTTGTATCGTCTAGTTTAGTTTTGTCCTAGAACTTCGCTTAACCAATATTGATATAACTTAAGCAATAATCAATCATAGAACAGCGCTTAACTAATACATACTTGTATAACTTAAGGCTTAAGCAATAATGTTGGAGAATAAGTGTGTTGATATGCAAGATGTCACTATTTGATGAGAGCATATAAACTAAGGATTTTGCAATTACCAAACTAAATCAATTGTATCGGGTTTTTAAATCTACAAACCAAACCAAACTAACAAAAGTTAGATTTTTCAATATCGGAGTTTCTCTAGTTTCTCGGGTTTTCAAATTTTTCGGATTTTTTTTGATAAACTTGTGCTCCAAATATTTACACAATTTACATAACCATGTCACTATAGTAATTGAGCTTTCCAAATGATATTTCTTCTGCCAACACAAAATTACCAAAAAGATAAACTCCATATCATATTGCACTCTACATAAGAATTATCATCAACTTTTTAAGAGTAGACATTACATCCAAGAGTCCAAAAAAAAAAAAGAATATATTAAAGGCAAAATGGCCTAAATGACACTTATACTTGTCCCACTTTGTCATGTTGGTTCCCAAACTTAACAATTTGCTAATTGAACATTTACACTCCTTCAAAACGTGTATAATAAATGCTTATGACACGAGGTTGTCACTGCGTGTAATACAATCTCCTACACCTAGGATACTACATTAAGAAAATTAAACCACATAGGCTCCAGGTCATTTATTATGGCCACATAGAAAAATAAAACGGGAAATGATTATTAAACCTCTCCTCCCTCCCAAACCCAATTTTCCCCCTCATTTTATACTTACCCGCTTAGTTGCCTCGATTTTTATTGACCCATGTTGTTGCACAAGTGGATTTAGAAACTGATAAAATGTTGTCATTTGGAACCGGGATTGTGAGCCAAATGCCGGTGTTAGCGAATGCGTGGATGATTTCTGGGTTTGCATCGAAGATTTTGATTTTGTTAATGGTAGTTTGGTCCCTGATGAAGGAGGCGACTTGGGTCGGCGGCGGGAGGTTGTCGGCGACGGTTCCGGTTCCGTAGTTCACGCCGATGAGATAGTCCCCTAAGGAGCCGTTACAAAAAAGAAGGGTGGAGGTAACAGAGTTTAGCCATGAGGGGTGTTGTTGGGAAGAAGAAGAAGAAGAAGAAGAAGAAAAAGAAGAAGAAGAAAAAGAAAATACGTAAATGGGGGGCGAAAATGGAGGGGGTGTTGTTGGGGGTGTGGGTATTACATCTGATAGTTCATTTTCTTAGTATTTTTTTAATAGAAACGAAATTCTTGTTCTGTCTTCCCTATTGATTACTCTATTTGTGAATTATTTCTTTTTCTTTTAATTTCTCTATTGTTAGTATTATTATTTTGTATATTTAGATCTGGCTAGATTTCAGTAACATATGACGGAAGTTTGGAGGTCTTGAGCTTTCATAGGTCTTTCTAGTACAAAGTCTTGAATGATATGAGTAATAAAGAGAAAGAGAAAGGTGGGTACGGGGAAGAACAAATTACTTATTTGGATCCACCCGTTTGCTTTTTTCTTTCTTTTACTTATTTTATTTTTCATTCTTATTTTAATGCTTTTTTTCTTAGTTTAATTATTTCTGGTTCAAAATTCTCATATTCACGCTCATTATCCGCTTGAATTACATCCACTTTGTCAAGGTCAACCATTATTTTATCACATGTACTTGGTCAATGGTTAAAGGGGTTTAAATAATAGGCTTTGATCAAGTTAAAGTGTCTGGGTGAAAACAAGTGAAGTAGGAGGACCGGCATGATAAACTAGGACAAGTATATGTGTCATTTAGGCCATTCTACCTATATTAAACTCTAAGAAGTTGGCATCTTAATAGACATTACAACTAGAGGAGCATGTTTCCAAAATACTTGTAAAGGCATAATGACCTCACTTCCACTCTTTGGGAGATATGTTGCGGTTCTATCCTTTCCCTTAGGATAAATTTTGCAATACCTGAAATATTTATAAATAATTAAATATTTTAGGCCCGACATAAGGTGATAGACAACGTTTTGTCTTTCATGACCAAAATCTCATCACAATAAAGGTCTCTACTTTATAAATTATTTTCCATTTTACACCAAAATACTAATAAAAACTTAAAGCAATTGACATGTCCAACTTCAATTGAACCTTGGATAAACAATTAGAAAGAGCATGTTGAAGAACTCCTCTCACTTTTTTCCACTCAAAGAAATGGAGAAAAGGGAATACTTGAACACAATAAAATAAAAATAATATTAAAAGCTTTTATTGAATGCGTATGTGAAGAACTGAAGATATATTAAGGCAGAGTATATATCAAGGAAACACTGAAAGACCATACTTAAAGGTTTTTCAGAAAGAAAGGAAGGCCAAATTAACTGAACTTTAGTTAGAAATATATCTTATCATGGACAGATCAATTGCTTTAAATATTGTAAAAAGTCTAATTTCTTCAAATTGCCAAATCAACTGTGCCTTAGAGAAACAATGTAATACAAAAGCTTCTTAATTGATTAAAACCATGCACCAACTTTTTTTAATTAATTACCTTGAAGTAGTAAAGATTCCAAAAAAAATCATGAAGCAAATTATAGTTAACTATCCATCTAATCAATCCTCAAAGGCGAGTCTGCATATTATGAAAAAAAAGAAATAATTAACATATTTAATATTAAATAATATAAAAAAATAAATATTCATTAAGAATTGAATATAAATTATTACCTTATTCAACTTGCTCAATTTTCTGGACTTCCTCTAACATGTCTTCAAACTTATATTGCAAATAAACATACTTCAATTCCCTTAGCAATAGTCTTACCTTTGTGATCCGGTGTTGGAAAAAAGTTCAAAATTTTCTTTTGTAGATTCCATTGATCATATATCTAATGTGTAGTGATAACCATATAAGTTAAGTTTTGGAGTGATATCCATGTATCACTAGTGAGACATACACGTTGGTTCTTAATAAGATTTTTAAGTGTTTCATTCTCTTCCTGATAAATCCTCAAACATTGTCTAGCAACAGTTACACGATAAGGTAATTCAAAATTAGGTAAGGTCTTAACCATTAATTTCTTAAATCCTTCTCCCTCAACAATTCTAAAAGCTTGCTCATCAAGAATTACAAATTCGGCAATCGCCCTCCTAATGCCATCCATATTATACACTACCCTTTCAGGAGCACCCGAACCACCTTCTAGCCACCATTATTTGATAGATTTTAATGTTGATTGTCTCTTATCAATGACTCTAAAGGGAAATTTGTGACATGTCGCATTTAAATGTGACCATAACGTAGTAGCCCCATTCTTGCTACCTGCAGCAAATGTTTTAGGACAATAATTGCATTCTACCTTACATTTACCTCCTTTAGCAATAAAATGAAGTGTTTCCAAGTGTCGAACATCTCTCTGCCACTATTCCCAGATTTAGAATTTTCGGATGGAGTCGTTCTTTTTTACTTTTTAGGAGGAGTGCGTCGATGAGTGATGGTAGGCTAGAAACCCGTATTTTAGTCGCTTATTGCACTCTAATTCACTGTACTTTACTTATGTTGAGCTTTAATTAGTAGTATTTTACACTTATTGTGTATTTTATACCGTGTATGAGTGATTCCGAGTTATTTAGATGTTGCGAAGTACATTCGAGCTAATTGGAGTTTTAAAATCTGAGTAGAAGCCCAAGGGATTAAATCAGGATCGCGTTCGGGGGTCGAGGACTAAGTCCGGATGTTAAAAATTGGAGAAACGAATTACTCTAAACAAATTGTGCGGTAGTGCAAAATTTGCCCAGAATCCATTTGGCAACTCGTTATGGAATTCCTCACAAGTGCGTCCCATGATGCGGCGTGACATGTGGCGCGGTAGTACAAATTTCTTAGAGTTTCGTCCCATTTTCGCTAAAAAAGGTATTTTCGTCCGGAAATTAATGTGGGGTGTCTTAAATACACGAAAATACGTCATTTTTGGACTTTTGACACATTTTCGACCTAATGAGGCTAAAGGGGAATTGGAAGAACACAAGCACAAGGATTTCATCATTCCTTCCTCACTCAAGATCCGGGTTTGGATTGAATTTATGTTTTCCTATACTTTAGTTACATTTGTGAAGAACTTCTCCATGTATATGGAGTAGATCCTTTTGGGTTTTGATAGATTTGGTGTATTGATGATTGTTTGTGGATTATAACTCTATTTTTATATGTTTGAATCGTTTTGGAAGATTTAATTGTTGCATCTATATTCACTTGTTATTGTAATCGAAAGAGGCATAACTTGTGATATCTTTGTATTATATTGTTGGTTGAGTTCATAGATTCTTCTAAGTAATTGAAAGAGGCTAGTTGAATCATTGATTAAATATAGTTAGGAGAAGAATCGAAAGAGGTTTTCCTAAAGACCGATCCACTACGCATTCTTACATATCTTCACAGTGCTTAAATTGGTTCATCTCGTGAGTTTAAGACTTAATCGAGAGTGGAGTTTTGCTGAACAATTGTACTAATAATTAAGTGAATTCGAGAAACTCACTTGAACACTGAAAGTGAATTATCTAGAGTTAGATCCCAAACAATCATCTTGCACTTATGTTGTCAAAACCCTATCCTCTTCCAATGATAACCTTAATTATTTATTCCTTGTTTCGATAGTCACTAGTCAATAGCTGTATATTTTAGATTCTTAATTAAATTTTATTATTAGTCATATAAATATCAACTGTTGATCCTCCTAGATAATAATCTAGCTACAAACTACGAGAACACTGTTTAACTTCAATCCATGTGGATACGATATTATACTATACCATCTTTGACTAGCGAGCACAATTAAAGTGTGTGTTTTACGCTCGTCAATGAGGAGTATCTTTACTTCGTTGTTGAGCTGCCACCGGCGAAGGATTATTGACAACCACCTCTGCATCTGTTTCAGAAGTTGTAGTTTCCATTCGAAGAAAGAGTTCATGCAAATAGAACATATTCAGTTACTATATAACTCTCTTAAAACAAAATAACGATGGGATGCAAGCTATGATAAAATTAAACTTTTCTATACTCAATATCTTTTTAAGTAGCAGTATAGAGAACTCAAGTTAATAATCTAAGAGAAACAAAATGAACAAATGAATTCGACAATAGGGAGGAATACGACATATTTGCAAAAAAACTCGCTAATCGAAAAAAGAAACTCTTAGTTAATGGGAAAAAAGCAAAACGTATGTATGCAGCTAAAAGAAAATATGTAAATGAGAAAGGGAAGAGCGTTACCGATTGGAGCAAAAGAGAGTTGATAGGCGTTGAGCTAATTGTGGTTTTGGAATGGAATGGAACGTAGGGTTTGTTGCCTTTGGAGAAGAGGCATAATGGTTTCAATTGTTTTAGTGTTTCAGAACTAGTTTAGGACTAGTCTAGTTTTGCTTTAGGACTAGTTTTTGGTTTGTGCTCGATTATTCTTTTATGGGCCAGACAAAAATAAATAAATTACATGGGCTACAAAACCAACTTAAAATATTATGCTAAATACAGAAATTATAAAAAAATTAAGAAATATTTATAACTTACATTCTAATAAATATTCTTAGCTATCTAATATATAAAATATGTATACGTGTAATGTCAGGTTGGTTTGGTTTCGGTTTGACTTTTTTTAGTTAATACCAAACCAAACCTATTATGGTCGAGTTTTATTTTTCTATACCAAACCAAGTCAAACCAAATCACTAATCGGGTTGTTTTTACGGGTTGACTTGGATTATTGGGTTGGTGCGAGTTATTGGTTTGATTTGTATACCCCTAATATAAACAATAATAATTGCGCCTCACTCCCAAATGTATTATAGTTCACACCATAATTATTCTTGTATTATATTTCATGCACAACTTTTCTCTAAACCGAATGACCATGTAAATATTGGGTTTTATATCCCGTAGTGTTTTTTATTCTAGTCAGATATATATGATGGTACATTAAGCTTAGTCGAATCCTTAATTTTTACCATTCCATTCGTTTTTTTGATAGTTATCGAAAGCTATCAACTATCGTCATTTTTTTTTACTAGTGATAAATATTTTCATTTCTCACTCTTCATTAACAATATAGATGCAGAAAATAAAACAGAGAAAAAAATCAGATGCCAGAAGTATCGTAGCCCGGACTTTTAACTAAAATAATCGAAACGTTTTAATAAATTATTAATAAATATTTTTATCATTTTTAAAGCTTAAGTTGTTTTTATTTTTTTTATTTGTGAAATATGGATTAAATCCTCTTTTTTATTGCAAAGAGCAAGAACAATTTTTGCATAAAATTGTCTTGCTTGTTAGAAAACGAAAAGAAAAAGTAGGTAATTGGACTTCTTTGGACTTGATTTGCATTGCCCCAACTATCAATCGACCCAAAAAGACCAGCCCATCTAAAGAATTAACCCAAGCCCAATGCCTTTCCATCCTCTAACTATAAACCCTACATATAAAACTGTTAGCAGCAGAACAGGAGCTGAGCAGAAGACGAGTGGAAGATCGTTGGTAAGGGGCGGAGAAAATGCAGATCTTCGTGAAAACTCTGACCGGTAAAACTATAACCCTAGAGGTTGAATCCAGTGACACTATTGACAATGTCAAGGCCAAAATTCAAGACAAGGAAGGTTTGTTTCTTACTCTATATTCAAGTTCAATTAATCACATAATTGTTTTTTTCTCTCTCTATCATATAGCTTAATTGAACTTGTGTATATGTCTTTTGGTGCTATAGGAATTCCACCGGACCAGCAAAGGCTAATTTTTGCTGGTAAGCAGCTTGAAGATGGTCGTACCCTTGCTGACTATAACATTCAGAAAGGTATTTTTTTTTAAAATTGCTTGTTAATTTAGCTAAAAGTTGAAGTCTTTTTAATTGAATATTAATTTTGGATGTGAAAAATTGCAGAGTCGACTCTGCATTTGGTGCTGAGGCTTCGTGGTGGAATTATTGAACCATCTTTGATGGCTTTGGCCAGGAAGTACAATCAGGACAAAATGATTTGCCGCAAGTAGGTCTTTAATGGGTCCTTATGATTTGTCCCTATTTATATACTTCTCTTTTTGTAATGTTTTTATTGTAATAGCACTTTTCCTTCAATTATCTGTAAGTGCTACTATTCTACTACTAATGTTAGTGCACTATTTAGTTAAGCTCGCAAGAGACATTGATTAGATCTTTATTTTGTTCTAATATGAAGCATTATTGGATTAAACTGCCTTGCAATTTTAAGGTGACCGTAACTCCCTTCAAAATATAAACAGTGTAAAGTTCAAGCTCCCGAGTATTTAAAAAAACTAGGGTGTTAAAGTGCAATTCATCTCTTTAATTTCTACGTGGCCTACTGTTTGCCTACTGCAATAGCTTTCTCCGTGGAAATAGATGAAAGTCTCCTTGGTTTCTAGGGAAATGCTGGTCTTGATGGTTTTACAGTTTTAACAAGATTGCTAAGACTACCAAGTGATGATTGATCGATATTTTCTGTTAAAGAAATAATGATCTAACACTAGTAAGTGTGATATGAACTGAAATTATCAGTTTGATAGATTAGTTGGTTGAGGAATATAAATTTCTGAAAAAGCTTGGCATGATTGCCCCTTTCCTGCTTCTACATTTGGTTGAGATAAAAAAAATGAGTGAAAATGTGTGGTCACACAAGCGTACATTTCAGTGCTGCTTTCATTCCTTGCTAGGAACGTTGTGCATCCATAATGTATCTCTTCTTTATTTTTCATCCCTTACTAGGAATATTGTGCATCCATATATCTCTTCTTTATATCTTGACCACTGCTGCACTGTCCACTGGATTCAACCTCACACGATTTGCTGCAATGCGCCTTCTGTCTTTAAATTTTTCTATAGTTCATGTTGAATCCTACATACTTTCGTCCTCACAAAATCTTTGGCATGTACTGCCACCACTATGCGTTATTTTAAAGCTGAGCTAACAGCTGACCTCCCGGGTCCGTAGATCATATGTTATTGCGCACTAAACAGTCATTGTTGAGGTAACTCCTTGTTAGTCTTATTGAGCCTGCATTCATAAACAGCAGTAGTGGCTTGGTTGAATCTAGAGCCACGACGATTTATTGAACTAGTATATGAGCATGTTACCTAGTAGTTTAATAGTTAACCATTGTTGTCTCTACTGTCAAGTTATATTCTTATTTTTGTTTGGATATTTCTATATCCAACAACCTTAACTTTGATTGAACTTTGAAGTACTTTCTGCACCAGCTTTCTATGGTTACTAATAACCTTGAAATATCTTGCTATCTGATATTTGCTTCATTTCAAAGGTTCTTTAGTCATAGTAAGACAATCATGAATTAAGTGGACCTGCTGATGTACCTGTAGATGTGTTTAATAGCCTCTATCTGTGGAAAAAATTTAACGGTGTCAACCTGAAATTTTTTCTTTTAACATACATGTTTGTTTCTAATGCTTTCCTTTATTTTTAAAGGTGCTATGCTCGTTTGCATCCTCGTGCTGTCAATTGCCGCAAAAAGAAGTGTGGCCACAGTAACCAGGTTCATTTCATCAAACTCTTCAAGACACATTATTTTTTAACTCCTATCAGTGACTGCGGACTGACTTCTATCATTTATTTGGCTTTGCAGTTGAGGCCCAAGAAGAAGATCAAGTAGATGGTGATTTTGAAGTCCTGGCAACATGCAGCTGCTAATGTTGAGATCCTTGAGAAAATCATTAGATATGTTGTTGGGTTGCCTGTTCAATTTACTCTAAAACATTGACGTATTTGTGTTTGAGCTATATCAAAGATTTTGAGCTACTTTCATTTTACTTAATGAGCTAAATTCTGTTGGTTACATTACTATAAGCTTTGTTAGATGTGTAGTTATATATATGCTTTTATCCAGCTATTTCAATTAGCCTTGTCCTCTGTTATGTTTGCTGAAGTGAGCCAAGAACATAGACAATAGCAGCACAATTTAAAGTTGATGTTGAAACATACAATGGTTCACTAATGGATGTTCATGTGTACGTGCAAGTGCATGTATCATTATATCTTTACATCCTAATGATCAGAGTCAAAATATGGATGTGCGTATTGCACCTCAAGAGCGATTTCTTGATGTAACAACTCAATGTACAATTATACATATTGTTCATTTTCGGCCCAGTTGACCTTATGGTTTTGTCCTCTTTGAGTTATGGAGGAGTAAAAAGGCTAAAGTGCAATGGTCTGTTAATGTGGGACTTTCTTCTTGCATCTCCTCTCTTAGGAAGTTCGCTAGCTTAGAAGATTGCCCGTTTTGGCACGCTCTCATCATTTTGCCCTTCATGGGTGCAACAAGCTGATCAGCTTTTGCTTTGTCCTTCCATGAACCAATGTTATGAGACAGAAACTTGGGAAGTCGTGGAAACAATGCAAATGAAGTATTCTACTTATCTGAGTTTACATGTATGTGATATTTTAAATTTGAGGATCAAATAAATTCAGGGTGAAGAATGTAACACCCCGACCTTTAAGCATGTAATAACTATGAATTTGAACATGTTATGATCTTTGCTTCCATGGAATTTGGATAATAGGATAATGTTGGTTGATGAGATGATATGGAAACTAAAGGAAGAAAAGGCATAAATGTGGTTGTAGAGGCCCCTGAATCAGAAAGAGACGCAAAAACATAGTTAAGGCCATTACGTTGCGGAAAATCCACCCAAGGTGGCAGTATTGATGCAATTAAACATCTTGTTTAGTGGCACATCTTTCTTGACCCATCTGTTTAGGTGATAAACCATTTTTGTTGAGGAAACTAAAATATCATGGCAGTATATTTAGCAGTACATATGGCAGTATAGCAGTACACATGTAAAATGGATTCACATTTTATCTTATGGCATATGCTATGTGCTTTATGATTATTAATTTGTATCTCCTCTTGATCTTAGAACTCAGAGTTGCAACCTCTCTAATTCTGTGTTTTCTTATTAGAAACTACCGTTTGCTTTGTGTTTTGATCAACCTGCAGCAGGGGATGAGATGGACCTACGAACTAGTGTTGAGAAGCAACACAGCCATTTTGCTACTTTATCTTTATGACTATGACTTTGTGCCAACCACTTCTCTTGGTGAGGCAACGGAGCTGTGCCCGGTATTGCTTTGCGTGGCTACAAAATTGACAAGTTACACAGCAAAGTTCTATACTAAAACTCCCACAAGGGTGATCTACAATCAGAATCATCAAAAAAAATTCTTGACTCAATGTTACACTCGTTCTCGATTTCTGATAAACCATAAGCTATTTGTGCCATGTTGAGAATATCAGATTCTGTCCCCAAGTAGTCAATTTCCCTACTGTCTTCACACAAAGGTAAGCCAAATTCAGGACTGCAAGTTTCTGGTATGAACTCTGACTTGATCACCTCCGTTTCTAATTTATTTCCTTCATTCTGAATCTCTCCATTGCCAACCTTTTCAGTTATCTTTCTAAGTCTCTGCAACTGCAAAGATAAAGAAAATTTCTAGTATTAGCTTTTTCTAACTCAAAAAGGAGAAAGATTTAAAGAAATTACCTGGATGAGGAGGGCTTCATTCTCTTTTTTGAGCATTTCATACTTTGAACCAAGGTTATCATAACTGATTTTAAGCATTCTATACTCCATCTCAAGTTGCTTGGACTTTGATCTAGCTCTCTTGTTCTGAAACCATATAGCGACTTGGCGCGGCTGTAGGCCTAAGCTTTTAGCCAACTGCTGTTTTGTTCTCAGTTCAGGCCTTGCCTCTGTCTCAAACATGTGTTCTAGTGACCGAATTTGCTCGTCGTTGAATCTTCTTCGCATGTTGTCCTTGCAATTCTTAATACTTGACATAGAGTGCAGATTTAGATCCTTTCCTAATAAGGATGATTGACTCCACATGTTGGAGTTTGTTGGAGGCCTTTCTCCTACAGACATTCTCTTCCTTTGTTTTTTGCTCTGATATTCAAGATTGCATGATTAGTGGTAAGGTGCCTATTAAAATATATACCGTCTCTCTATATTTGGTGGACCATCAGCTGGTTTTAGTAATGACAAAATAAAGACTAGGTGTCCAGTTTTGGTGTGTTAATGTGTATCTTATAACTGGCCCGCTATATGGTACACTTCTTGTTAAATTCTTTCTTTTATCCACTTAACATAATGACACTTGAGAAAAATGAGAAAGGGATGTGGATCTTTCTTGATCTTTTGCAGAGGGAATTAGTAATTAGTAATTCCTTTAATAGGATTTAGGTAAATTGAATCTTCAGGATGTACTTGAGTCGTACAGTGTAATGATGAGCCCTTTTTAATTAATGGTTTGATCATTATTTGACTCTCTTTTGATTATAAGCGTGTTGATCTAACATATAACATATGATGTGTATATTTATAGAATGGATAAGGATACTCTGAATAGTAAGTTAAACAAAGAAGGTAAACCTCTACCCTTTTAAGGTACTATATCTGTTTTTACCTTTTCATAGTTTTCTTGTTTTAGACACTTGAAAGGAATATTTATAGTGTATGTAGTATAGTGACAAGTTCTAGTGAGTTTTCTTGGAATATTAGGGATAATAGGGCCTGGTCATGCCTTGTTACTGTCAGGGGCATAGGTAGTATTGACGGTACGACCGATCACTTTAGTACAAATTTTATATTTGTCTTAAAATTCACTTAGTATGTATAAATTCTTAATTTATAATTCATATATTTTAAATTTTTGTTCCGCCTCTGATTTTTGTACATTTAAATCCACTCAAAAATATTCTTAATATGATAATGATATTGATGATAATACTATGTCCGGACAATATTTTCCATATCTACTTCAACATTGAAAGACCAGGGGAAGACCATATTTGACACTTAGTATAAAGTGATTGGAAAATGGGAGTGCTGAGGATAATTGCGTGGGACATAAGCAAAGATATTCTGTCCCTCAGGAGACAATAACCAATGGTGTAAAGCCACTTTCCACTTAGATCAACACGTAAACCTACTTACGTGGTCTTATCTTTTGTATTTAATATAATATTCCAAGATTGCTTGTCATAAGTTCCATTTTCTTTGGGGAATTGATAGTGAACTAATCTTTCGGATTATAGCAAGTGTCCCTAGCTAGTGTGAATCCCGTGTGGCGTAGTGTTTCGAAAGAGTCTTTTTTATTTTTATTTTTATTTTTTTACTCAAAGTTTAATATATGTATTGAGGTCCGATTAAATCGAAATTTGCGTAAATAAAAATTCAAAGTGCTCCTTAATAAAAACGATTCCAGGCACAAGGTTTGTATCCGAAAACTTTGGTTAAGTATGAATCATTACATACCACTCTGTCACAAAAGTCTTGTTGCTTTAGTTATCACAATATAAATTGTGTTTGAACATCTACTGTCAATTAAGGACGAGCCTGATGTTCAAACTAGAATGCACAAACAGTTTTGTTGTTTTCTACACTGTTACTTCGTGGAGGCAGTTGTCCTGTCCTCGTGAATATAATACTCGTTTTCTTGAATGAATTGGATTGGACATTAGTGTTCTTTTCGTTTTTAGAAATTCTTAGGGTGAAAATAGACACGTGAACTGTAACCATTTTGATGAAAATGGATAGGATTACCGCGATTAGAGGTCTTGGATGAACTAAGAATAAAACAAAACTCGTTTCTCAACTCTTAGTTTAATGCAAATTTAGATTAATCGAGTCAATAGATTGTGCATATCGGATGGCAACAAAAAGAACCTATATACTGTAGGATAGAATAAAATAGAAAAAGCAAAAAGACTTTAGGTGGAATTAGAATATTAAATTTTTTTAGAAGTATGTAGTAGGGTTACATCTATCAGATTGTAAATGCAAGTGCATTTATACAACAATTTAAGCAAGGACAGCCTTCATTAGAAAGGTTTATGGAGGAGTAAGTTGCCAAATTTGTTGCAATTTTGTCCCTTTTAATTTTATTCAGTCACGATCATTACCTAATTATCTTCACTCGACTTAGGGGCATACCATCACCATTTCCAAGCACAAAATCCTTCTTCCCCCTTGTTTCTGCTAATTTTATCCTTCTCTTTTAAGTTACTCTGTTCTCTCTCTTCCCCATCTTTGATATCACTGACTATACTTGAGGTTTAATAAATAAAGTCAGACCTCTCTATAACAGCATCCTTATATAACAATATTTCACTATAAAAGCCAAGCTTTTTCGAAATTAATTTTCATGTTATGTTATACTATATGCTCTCTATAACAACACTTAGCTATAATATCTAAAAATATTTGGAACAAACGAGGCTGTTATAGAGAGGTTTTGACTGTAGATCTAAGAATTTAAGCTTCAGGAAGCATACCAAGATAAAGGAGGAATATTCCGATAGGTTAATCTGCATTGTAATAGTATTTTAGCTACAAAGAGTTCTAATTGCCGCACAATAGCTACATGAGGCTCATATAGTTGAAAATCGAGACTGAACAATGAACATGATGCATCCGAGATCTCAATTCTTATCAAAGTACATATATCAGGAAGTAGGGTGGCAAACGGGTGGGTCGGATATTCGCGGGTCGGAAATGGATAATTTAAAAAACTGACAAATTATCCGACCCGACCCGTATTTGAGACGGATAAAAAACGGGTTATCCGGCGGATAATATGGATATCCATATTATCCATGGCTTCTTGAATATGATCACTTATGGGGGAATTTCTAGCCTCCCAAACTTGAGGAACCCTCAATTTGAGGCTTTACAAATGTAAAAGTTAAATATATTAGTTATTCATTGGTTATCCATTTGGTTAACCATTTTCTAAGTGGATAATATGATTCTTATCCATATTCAACCCATTTTTAAAAAGTTCATTATCCAACCCATTTTTTAATGGGTAATATGAGTGGATAACTATTTTCTTTTACCAATTTTGCCACCTTTATCAGGAAGTTACACCCAATGACCTTGAAAATGGATGATCTTGGTTTTGTTGACCCCCGCTTGCCCGTGAGCAAACTTTTAAAGTTAAAAGTCAAAAGTATTTCCCAAGAGACAAGTGAGGAGCGATACTTATTAAACTTGAAGTGTTGCTCATTGGGCAAGCGGGTCAAAAAATCAATAGTGACCCGGAATCTTCCTATTTGTGCAAATCGCCCTACATACAGTTGAGTAAAGCCCACTCAGTATCAGTCTGATTTCTGGGCCAACTGCATCTCTCTTGTTGCTGGGTTAGTAGTCTTGGTCTCCCCGAGAACTCTGCAACTTGGGCTTTCCCTTGTCCCTGGGAAAAGGAATGGGGTATTATCACTTTTANATATATATATATACAAAATTAATATACAAATTATATATATTTTTACGGCTATTAATTTTACAGCGGCTATACAGTGTCCATTCTTTCGGCCCAGAATAGCCATGCAAAAGTATGACTTGAATTATGACGGTGGATGTGCGGTCACACTAGCATAGATAATATTAGGAATGATGATATTCGGGAGAAGGTGCACGTGGCTCCCATTGATGACAAGATACAGGAAGCGAGGCTTAGATGATTCAAACATGTTTAGAGGAAAAGCCCAGATGCTCCAGTACGGAGGTGTGAGCGGCTGGTTGTGGAGGGCACGAGAATAGGTAGAGGGCAGCCTAAGAAGTATTGGGGAAAGGTGATCAGGCAGGATATGGCGAGGCTCCAGATTTCCGAGGACACGACACTTGATAGGAAGATGTGGAGGTCGAGTATTAGGGTTGTAGGTTAGGAGGTAGTTGAGTCGTGTCTTACTTCGTACCATTGTGGGACTAGCCATGTAGGGTTTTTGTCTAAGATAGCTAGTTGCAATATTGTGTCTTACTATTTCGCTTTTCAGTGCAGGTCCTATTTATTAGCTATCGCTTTTGCTTTGCATCTTTCTTCTGGATTTCATGGTGTTCCTATTTTTCTTATGATTGCTGTGGTGATACTAATATTGTCTCTCTTTGCTTTGCGTCTTTCTTCTGGATTTCATGGTGTTCCTATTTTTCCTATGATTGCTGTGGTGATACTAATATTGTCTCCTTTTGTCCTTTTGTCTTTTTGTTTTCTTGAGCCAAAGGTCTTTCGAAAACAGCCTCTCTACTACTTCGGGATAGGGGTAAGGTCTGCGTACACACTACCCTCTCCAAACCCCATTAGTGAAATTTTACTGGGTTATTGTTGTTGTATCGTCCCTTCCGGGACATCCATACAATTAAAACGATACAAAATTGTAATCACTTGAATGTTTAGCTCAAGTATTTTAGAGTGGAAAAAGAATTCTTTTAAACCAATCGATAGTTGCAGTTCTCTAACGGTATTTGAAAGGACAAATAGCAAGGGCTTCTCCAATTTAATTTTGGATCATAGAGAAATGTTTATGAAAAAGGAAACAACAGAAAATGGAAAATTTACGTAAAAACACCACATTTGAAGAATTTTATCATGCAACGCTCTAGAAAACATTATCCATAAACGGAAAAGAAAAAGAAAATGTCTACCTTTTACGCAAAGGAATTGCATTCTGATAGTTGCAACTTTAGCCAATCGGCCGAAAGTAATTGAATAATATATATATATATATATATATATATATATATATATACACACACACACATTTAACGACTACTCCCTCCCTTCCAATTAATTTTATCTTATTTACTTTTTAGTCCGTGCCAGAAAGAATGACCCATTTCCTTATTTGGAAACAATTTACCTTTATGCAATAATTTATAGCCACATAAAATATATGTGATTCATTTTATATCACAAGTTCAAAAGTCTTCTCTCTTTTCTTAAACTCCGTGCCCAGTTAAAAATGAGTTCACATAAATTGAGACAGAGGGAGTATAATTTTTAGGAGCAGGTAAAAAATATATATTTCTCAAAAAATTTCAATTCTATCAAAAGTCTTTCTTCTTCCGTTTATTACAGGCGGATTAATTCTCCAAAGAAAATACAAATAAAAAATAAAAAACAACTCAGATTACCTACTTTTTTCACAATAATCTGTCCCTAGCTAACTCTCACAAATATGATGGGAACGAGCTGTTCATTCCCATATTTAACAAAAACAACAAGATGTTTTATACTTTAATATCATACGAGGAGTAATTTG